GAGATCCCTCTGATGCTTTGGAAGTTCTCTGCGGACCATGGCTTTTGCTGTAGGATGCGACTAGGAAAATGTCAGGAATAGCCTACTGGAACAGCTGAACTTTATATGGGGTTAATCAGAGGCACTTTAATTGATGGCAGGTGTACTGACTCCTATTTAACATGAGTTTGAATGTGACTGCTTAATTCTGACAACAGTCACAGCCCCACAGTACGAGGGTGTGCACACTAATGCAACCACATTATTTTAGTTTTTTATTTTTACTTCCCACTGAAAAACAGATTTCAGTTTGTTTTCAATTGAGTTGTACAAGTTATAGGTCACATTAAAGGTGGCTAAAGTTCTGGAATTATTTATCTTGGTCTCGTTTTTTTACATCACAGAAACCTGGCATTTTAACAGGGGTGTGTAGACTTTTTATATCCACTGTATTCCCAAGCTATCACGCCTGGCTAGCGGTGCCTGCTGTTAACCCTGACCACTCCACCTGATGGTGTTGATGTAAACTGACCTGGCGGGTGAGCAGGGCCACGCGCTCCAGACTCGGGTCCAGTGGAGTGAAGCGCACTGTGATTAGCTCATTCATCTTAATGGGTCGTCCTGACATGGGACATAACACAGCCTTATTCTGACGGATGTTAGGGAGGGAGAGAAAAGAGAAGTGATTATAAGGGTGATGTCTGCACATTACATTTCACATTCATTACTACAGTCCAACAGTGGTGAGCTGCAACTGGCAACCAAAGACAGGTTTCCATCTCTAGATCCAGGGTCAACCTGCCTTCTGCCTCAAACAATGTCAACATCAGACAGACAGATCGACTAACCAAACAGACAGGGAACATCATGATATCAACATCTGAAGCAAACATAATGACACAGAAGTCTGATAGTATGACGGGGGAGCTCACTGAGCAATGATGATCTGTTTTTACTTTCTTGTGCATGAGAAGTTAAAGAAGCAGTTTCTGCTTACTGCTGCTAACAGAGGATACTAACAGCAGAAACAAGCAGAGACTACAGCCATCAAAAGGTTCTGTGTGGAACCTCTTTGAGAAAATAAACGAAAATGAGGTGCAGTGGAAACTCTGCCAGGTTGAGTTAGCATATCATAAATCGACAACAACTATGCACAGCCATTTGAAGGTGAGGCATCCAGCAGAAAGTGGCGTGCAGTCCTGCAGATCAGCAGTCTGTGGCTAGCTTTGTCACCCAGACAATTAAGTTTGGTGATTGACATGCAGAGCAAATAACAATAGTTAATATCCTGCAAACATTCAAACAGGGACAATACAAGACAACCAAGCGGTCAGTTATATTATTTTCTAGAAATTCAAGACCCCCCTTGGTAAGGGTCAGCTTACAACTGCAGGGTTTTAACATTTGTTGATGGAAATTCAAAATTCTAACATAGTATCTATATAACGTGAACTAACTAGCTCCCTTGGTTAACATAACCAAGCTAATTCAGTACATTTTACCTACGTTAGCAATGTCTTCACTTGTAAAATAGGTTACATTCTGCTATCTCTGTTGTTCCCATTCACAAGTATTACTCTCTAACCAAGTCATAGCCTACTTCATGTGCTCTCTGTGGAGGCTAACCATACTGCTGGCTCTAAGTACCCTCCTGAGTTGACAGTATAGAGAAATACCCAATCAGCTGTTTGATTAGCTTAGCAATGCTGCCAATCACACAAATGTTCATTTAAACACTGAGTGATGATTAACAGGTCATTATAATTCATTTTGAAATCAGGTCACCTATGTTATTTTACAACACATACATATAACTCACCATTGTTTTTACATTCATTCTGATACAGTGCCTTTTTACTGTAATTCGGCTTAGGTGCTCCGGAAAAACACTTGGGGACTGTGCCTAAGCCTTTCTATGAAAGGGAAAACCCTGACAAAAGTGTTACTCAAACTGCTGCCCCGAAGCTGACATGGCACGAGAAGAGACTCACTGGTTTCTTGAGCAGAGTGGGCTTAGCTTCTGGTGTCAGAGAGGGGATCCAGAAACTGGGCAGGCTCTGGCTGGAGGATGCAGATGAACCAGCAGGGGAGGATTCTACTGAGCTGCTGTCTGTCCTGCTCCTCTCACTTCCTTTGTTCTGCCCTAAATGGAAAGAACATTCATACTTGTAGTTTCTAATGTCTTAACATTTCAAGTGCACAAATAATCGTAGTAAATGCGACCATCTGAGACTGCCAACAGCACATTTTAGGGTCGACCAGAAAAACCGAGCTTTTGGAAAATGACTGATTTGATCAGCATCTCAGTGCAGTCGGGCAGGAGCTACTGTTATCTAGTATTTTGAGCTGCAATTAAATTGTGTACTTTTATAAAATACTGTTTTTGTTGGTGTGACAAGTGTAACAAAAATTCAAATGCCAATTAAACTCACAGGTATACAGTATAACAAAGGTTTAATGGCTGAGAATCAGCAAAGGAAGCAGTCCGTCCTCCTCTTCACCATAAGCTGGACATTTAAAACACCTAAACTGCTTTTTCAAAGTCAGTCAGTGTAGTGTGGACAGAGAGTAATATATTAAAGACAAACAAACCGGATGTAAATGGGTTGATGGGTTTGGACACAATGCTGTTCTCTCTGGTTTTAAACCTCTCCACTCTCTCTCTTTCCTCTGACTTGGATTCAAGTCGGCTGGTGCTCTTCTGTGCTTGCTTCTGCTTCTCATACGCCTAAAGAAGTCAAGGAGGAAAATACAGCTGAGTGCTCAGAATCTTAAGTGAGAACAGACAATTTCTTTTCATTGAATGCATTTACCTGGACATGAATCCCCATTCTGATCGGGGTTTTTTTTTTTTAAGTGTCCCATTTTGATATTTACACATGCAAACACAAATAGTGGAGGGTGTGCTTGGTCATGTCCACTTTCCACAGACAGAGGAGTTCACATAGGCTTTCCCTGTCTGCTGGATAGTCTACTGAGCCTCCAATGGTCCAGTAAGCTGCAGACATCTCCCCTGAAGCCCCTGACACCGTAGTATGCCCAACCAGATTTCTCTGTGTTCCATGTAAAAACCATATGCCACATATGATCAATACTAGGACACTCTTAATAACCAGGATACTTGTGTCCATGAAAACACACTCGCTATTTAATATATAATAGAAACATGAGACAAAATTTCACCCAACTATTAATGCGTTTCAGGCACATGAACAACAAAACCAACACATCCTCATACAGATTCACTGGTGGAAGGCAACTGTGGCTGACAAATGTCACCACACAAATAAAGCATTACAAGAAAGGATCTGTACTAGGTGTCATGATTTTCACTCAGTTTCAGCCTCTGTCCAGACTAAAACACCATCTTTATGGAATTGACCACTGGCCAACAGGTATTTGACATAATTTAATAACTGTCACACAGAAACAAAAAATATAAGTAAAGGAGAGCAACCACATGTCAGTGACCTGCATATCTGTTGATTTTGTCAGCATCAATAACATGAAATAATTATTTGTTCAGCTAGGTGCTCTGTCTCTGTCTCAAGAAGTGATTGTTGCTACTATAAAGATACCTGGAAATGCTAATGTGGATGCCACTCATTGGGCTTACCTTCATTTTTTTGGCATTTTCTGTCTTCTGGTGCAGAATGTATTCAAGAATGGCCTGTTTTTCATATAAGTATCCATCTGGGCTGAGTGCAGCAACAGAAATAAGAGACACTGTTTATATGCAATATGTAGCCACATGCTAAGGTTATAACAGTGTGATTGTGTGTTTGAGCATGTTTTGGAAAGAACCCCATACGTCACCACAGGATCCTGACAGGGCTGCAGGGACAGGCAGCAGCAGTCAAAGTCTTTGATGGCATCTTTGCCCAGTCGAATGCGCTGTGTCCCATAACCAGATGCCGCTGTGCAGGACAAGAGCATGTATGACATAATATATTTATACACATTTGAAATGACAGATGAGAAAGCCTCTCAAACAGATATGACTGAGGTAATAATCTCTTCTGAAGGAAGAGACCTTGAAGTTTTTTAATTATGTGTCAGTGGTGAAATATTCCAGTGTAAAACAGGCTGGGCTTAAGGCCATAGCAAGCCTGTAATCAATGCTGCAGGTTTCAATGAACTGGTCATCGCATCTCAGTGGAATCTGATATTTGTGCGACCACTCGGCTTCAACAGCAGCAGCCCACCCTTTAAAAGATGTTAGATCCCAGGACTCGGGAGTATGCAGAGATAACTGGTTAGGTATTTTGGGGGGAGGTTGGAGTCAGGTTAAGCAATGGTCATAACAGGTTAAATGTTACGGTAAAAGGCAGTTTCAGATTAGAGTAAAAGAAACGCATATCTAGGGAGAAACACGCTTCCCAGAAACCTTCTCCCGAGTCTTGGGATTGGAGATGTTTTTCTAGCTCGACGTGGTTCTCACCTGTATCTTTCTTTTTCTCGTGATACGTGTAGACAGCTCCTGCCGTGCAGTTCTTTCCATGGCGAGTCATTGTGCTTTGGGGTTGTTTTTTTGTCTAATTTAACTTTAATCTGGAAATGTTAAACTGGAAAATTATGTTAGGCTATTAATGTTTGCTGTGAGCACCGATGCTAACATCGGTTGCTAAAAATAAAGAGCTACAAAACACTTGCACAGCTCTAGGGTTTGTATTCACAAAAGGTTACATTAGAAAAATAAAGAAATGAACTATGGCTACATTGGTTAACAATACTACTTAAAGAGTAAAACGTTAAGTGGATAAATAATGTGTGTTTAACACGAACCAAGCCAACGCAACTTCTTATTCCTCGTCTTCTTCTTCTGCGGCGGCTTTCGGAGAGGTTTATTGGCAGTTGGCTAACAACGAACTGGTGCATTACCGCCACTAAATGGTAAGGAGTGTGTCTCAAGAGACTGCAGTCTTAAAAAATTGCTTTTATCTATCTGAGGTTTTGAATTAGGTCTCTTCTTTGTGTTTCATATTTCGGACAGTGTAAAATGACGTGTTCTAATGCCGCTTGTTGTCCACAGTATTTACATTTGCATGTATTATGTTTCCCTATTTTGAATAGTGTACTGTTAAGCCCAGTAGGTCTTAACACGAATACCTCATCTCTTCTGCCCTATTTTCCTTTGAATCCTGTAAAACCACTATCCTTTCCTCCTCCCACTGCTTCTGTCATGTCTTTCTCTCTAAAGGGTGTTCATACATGTAAAGATTCACGTTAATTTTTTTTTCTTTTGAGAAGATCATGTATTTACTTTTAGGATTAGACAACCCCCTCTTGAGTTTGAGAAAGCAGATATATATTTCTGTCCACTAGATGACGCTTTCATCTAGAAATAGAGAGACCCCAAAACATCGGCCACTTTTTGAATTCTTTGATCATTACACTGAAAAAGACTGGACAAGTGACTGAGTCTTGGAAATAGCATTTTTAATATTAACAATTTGAGGAACAAACTCAGTTTCCATCTGCTCACCTAATCTGTGATTAAGAAAGCCTTTAAGATAGTTGAAATTCTTCCATTAATACTTGCATCATTGAACTTAATAAGAACATCCTGCAGTCACACTAAATGCCTTTTAAATGTTTAAACATGTTTTTCAATGTGTAAAAATAGCCCAATAGCTTCCTTAGCAACAACGTTTAGAATATCTTATTATCCTATTCATATCCTAATCATTACCATTCTTCCATCACCTGCTGAAAACATCAATGCTATGATGGACTAGATGTATCTTTTCCTGGTTTCAGAACTGGAATCATTACAACATGGTGAAGTATTGGTTGTAAGCCCACCTACCAGACATAATTTAAAAAAGCAAGAATTTCTTCAAACAGCATACCATCTAGGTCTTTAAGGATAGGAAACTCTAAATTCTTTTAAAAAACACACTCTATAGACTACCTCCCATGCCATCATGATATAGTTTCCATTTCTATACATCCAACATCTACTGTTTCATACTCAAACCCTCCTCTCACTAGGAGGAGGGTATTAGTAGTATGTATTCCCTGTCTCAGTATAGCCATCACTCAGAATTAGCATTTGTCTTAACAATACCCCCCTGGTTTTCTGATTACATGGGTTACGCAGGGATACAAGGTCAGACAGACGGCCACAGTTCACTTCTAGATTATGGATGGAGTTGTGCTCTGTCATTTTACTTCTCTCAATCTCCTTCAAATTCTATTCCCAGTCCAATGGCTGGTGCTCAACAAAAGACTGAGACCAGCTTGGGCTGTCTTGCCTACAAAAAAACCCCACACCTCTTGAAGTAAGCAGTCAGCCTACTTTACCGCACCTGGCCCAGTCAGTCCTTCGAGGCCAGGGAAGTCAAAGGGTGGAGCTGTCAACCCAGGACCTCTCTTTTAGAATGGAATCCAGGAAACCTTGCTCCATGGGTCATTGACTTGCTCCACAACCCCAAGGTAATCAATCTGTCTGTTGGATGTTCCCATAAACCACTTTCTGTGTCTTCAAGGTTATACCAGTCCAAATCAGCTTATGCCAGACACCCATACATCCACCACCCCCAACCCAACTACGCTGTCAGGTGTTTCCTAGGGGTAACTTGTCATGGGAGCACCCTCTTAGTATATACTCACTTGCCACTTTAGTAGGTACACCTGTTCAAGTGCTTCTTAATGCAAATATCTAATTAGCCAATCACATGACAACAACTCAGTGCATTTATGCTGGTAGACATGGTCAAGACAATCTGCCGATGTTCAGAATGGGTAAGAAAGGTGATTTAAGTAACTCTGAACATAGCATGGTTGTTGTTGGCAGACAGGCTGGTCTGAGTATTTTAGAAACTGCTGATCTACTGGCTGTTCATGCACAACCATCTCTAAAGTTTACAGTAAATTTTCTGCAAAAGAGAAAATAATCCAGTGAGCAGCAGTTCTCTGGGCAAAAATGACTTGTGTGAATGGCCAGACTGGTTTGAGCTTATAGAAAGGCAACGGTAACTCAAATAACCACTCATTACAACCGAGGTATGCAGAAGAGCATCTCAGAACCCACAACACGTCAAATCTTGAAGCAGATGGGCTACGGTAGCAGAAGATCACACCCAGTGCTACTCCTTTCAGCTAAGAAGAAAAGAACTGAGGCTACAGTTCACATAGGCTCACCAAAATTATACAACAGAAGATTAGAAAAATATTGCCTGGTTTGATGAGTCTTGATTTTTGTTGTCACATTCAGATGGTAGGATTAGAATTTAGCATAAACAACATGAAAGCATGAATCCATCCTGCCTTATATCAACAGTTCAGGCTGCTGGTGGTGGTGTAATGGTGTGGGGGATATTTTCTTGGCACATTTTTGGACCCTGTAGTACCAACTGAGCACTGCTTAAATGCCATGACCTACCTCAGTATTGTTGCTGACCATGTCCATCCCTTTACACCAACCCGGTACTTGCAAGGTGTAAGTGGCCAGTGAGTGTGTACAGTATGCCAGCCATTCCAGTCATCATTTGACCCTATTGGGATTAATAAAGTTGTCTGTATTGTATTGGCATTATAGTGAACCATTCTTATAGGGAAACTATCAAATTTGTACTCTACCATAGCTGTTTAACTTTAACAGAGGTCTTTAGATTTCTAAGCAATATTGTCTCCTAATGAGTGATACTTTAACTGGTAGGATGTACAGAGGCTAAATAGTCATATATCCCATTTAAAGTTGAAAATGAGATTATCATTCAATTAAAAACCCCAAACACTTGAGCCTCTACTTAAATTTCTTTAAACTATCATTTCTGAGACACAGTATCACATACAGCCTTTTCAGCATTCACTGAAGCCAGTTGTACAACATACAGAGTAAAACATACAGACTTTAAAAAGCATGTTTTCTAATGACTGTCTGCAATTTCTAATTGCATTAAATAAAAATATGCAAACTGTTTTCTGCATCATTTGAAACACACTTTCTCGATGTTAAGCCTGACACTGTGTGAGTTTGGATATTTAGAGGTTTCCGCAGCAGGCTCTGAAAATGTGATTGATCTTTACTTGCAAAACCAGCTTGTAAAGTTGAGCTGTTTTTTTCCCAACATCTGTAAATGATAAATAATATCACTTACAAAGTCTACCTTGACTCTCAGGTTAGTGAGAAAACTAGCATGTCCTGAACCAATAGTGATGTTAACAGTGCCTGTTTCCCTTGCATGTTTTGTTTATTTCTGCCTCTGAACAGCAGCATTTCCTGCCTATGTGACTGTGGATTTCCTGTTAACAGATCCCTACACCCATTGCAAATAAAGCTCCAACTGACAGATGTACAGACTGAAATGTTGCAGACTTAAAACTAAATAACTATCAGTGGCAAGGTGACGCATTTCTTCCCCCGTAAGCAGAGAAAACATCATTCAGAACTGAGGGATGTAAATAAAGACGACACTGGCTCAAGACAAAGACAGACTTTCTTTTGCATTGATTGCCTTGGTTTTGTAGTATATTAGTGGAAATCAACCAAGAAACATTTTAATAAAATTCTATTTCCTTAGCATAGCTTTATTTAGGGCTGGAGAGTGTTTGGTCAACACCTTGAATAAGAACAAACGCACACAAAGAGATGACTTGTGGTAAAAATAATTAGGGAAGAGGCACATCTTGTACTGATAAACACCCTGTTAACCCTGCACTTACTGCATCATCTTAGGTCATACTGGCCATGTAAGTTCAGAAATAGTCAGGATGTTGGGTTGCTGTTGTCACAGTTTATAAAGTCTGGAGTTAATGATGTGGTGAGTGTTGTAAAGGACATAAGTAGATAATAAGTAGGACTAGGTCTCTTACATAAACAGCAATCCCCCATAGACGCTCCACTTCTTCTATCTTCTTCTATAGCTTTTTATCTGCACTCTTTGAACATGAGCCCATCACTATCACTCCATCAATACCCTGCCCTTCAGCTCACCATCATTTCCCATCATGACGCCTGCTCCACATTCTTTGTTTTCAACATTAATTACATTTGTTGGCATCAACTAGTGAAGAACATGTCAAGGATAAATTGATATTTTTCTTTCATGTCTGAAATGCCTATAATTGATATTATTTATATAAAAAACTGTAGAAAGCCCCCATCCACTACCAGCTCAGTGACAAACAGCAGACAGACAGTCTGAGACAAGCCAGTGAGCATAGTGGAGAATTTAGCAGCGAAAGAGACAGATATTTCCCTCAGGAGTGGGTGAAGGCTCAAAACAAAACTAAAAGAGAGTGAATCTTGAACTTATGAATGATCATGTTGCTCTGTAGCAACTGTGACAGGTTTCACTTAACTTTGGTTTAACAGTTGATAAGCTAAAACAGGCACCTTCTTTAAAAATATTTCAGCTCCTTAATGTCATTCATTGCACTGTACTGTATATGTTGTTTGTACTAAGTACCACATTTTCATGGTCTGGTGTCAATAAACTAGCTCTAAATCTGAAAGACGTGAGGTTCTGACTGAAATGTTGCCAGTTTGATTTCCAGAATCTGGGTGGGGAGAGTGAAAAAACAGTGCTTCCCTCTCTGTCATCACCAACTCAGTGGTACCCTTGAGCAAAGCATTTAACCCCCAGCTGCTCCAGTGGAGTTGCTCAGTCAGATAGGCCTATGGTTGTACTGGGTGATTTTATGTAGGACTGTATGTAACTGTGTAAGTGTTCACAGAATGTTCCTGCAAAAGACAGCATCACTCTCATTGATACACCCTTAAATAAATAAGGGTTAAAAGAATAAACCCACATTAACGACAGCACTGACAACTTAATAATCCATTTGACTATGACCAGCTAGGCAGTACAACAATGTGGTGGTTAGCCTGTTGCCTCACAGCAAGAAAGTTCTGGGTTTTAGCCCAGTCGACCC